ATCTACCATGGGACCCAGACCTACAACAGGAGAAAAATAAAGCTCAGCAAAGCAGCCGGAGGCATGCACATACAATGAAAGTTAGCTTAACCAGCAACAGCAATTTCACACTGCACAGCATCACCAGAGAGGAATGCTCCGCTCTGGTGCAGCAAGCTTTCCTCGGGACATCTCAGAAGAATCCTTTCTCTCTTATTCCACACTCCATTTGTCAGGAGACAACAGTACAAGCAAAAGAAAGCTCTCCAGCAAAGCTCGGCTGCCACTTCTACAGAACAGAAGTCTTTGTTCCAGGCTCTCCCACAGCTCCTCCCCACCCAGCATCCTTTTCACAAAGGGAAGGATAGCTTAAAGTGTCTTTTTAGAAAGTGTGTCTGAAAAAACACTAATTTGAACATCCAGCTTTCTAAGATTTTGTAATACCACCCAGATGAATTCTGACACTAGAACAATTCCTTCCCCCCTCTCCTCCATCTTCTGTCTGTAGCTGTTTATAGGGGGTAATCAATAGTCACCTCACCTTGCCTATTGCTTTATACACACTAAATAACGAAGTGCAACTGCTTTTAAACCTTCCTGGCCACTATACTGAGCCATCATCTGTAACAGTCCTCAACACTGTAACCAGCAGTTTTCTTCCTGCATCAAAGTTACACAGAGGCGCTGAAGTCTACCCAGAACTCTTATTTTGTAGCATGAGCACAACTTCCTTCAGTCAAGAAGATGCAGAAAGCCAGCACGCCATCATCTTACTGCCAGTACTGGCAATACCTCGCTCCCAGAGCACGCCATCACAAGGGCTGCCAGTCAGCAGCTCCCGAAGCAGGACCATCTGCACTTAGCGCAATGCTTCTGTAACTCCAGGCCTAACTACCACTGCTCACCCCTGCAATTGCAGAGCCGTGGAATCAGCATTCTTCAAGTTTCAGTAAGAGCATCGAGCATCTTTCCTGCAGGCACCTGACTGTCCCAGAACCAGGAGCCACCAAATATCACAGCAGTACCCAGACGTGTGCGGCAGCAGCCTGCAATCTGAGCCTGGCTAGTCATTTACCTCCTGCTGTGCCTCCTATGCAGTCAGGACAGCTCCAGTAATTGGCAGTCATCATCCTCTTAAAGGCTCAGTGAGCAAGTCCTAAAGCAGCCAGCAGACCCTAACGAAGCCTATCTCTTCACTCACTCTACCACAAGGACAATTTCTTCCTGTCTATCACATTTTTATTAACACAGGAGTATTTGTACATCTTCCTCAACTTCTATTTTGGCATGCAGGAAACATCCAGATCCGTGGGGACGTGACAGAGCAGTCCTCAGAAACACCACCTGTAACACTGGGACTCAGGGTCCCCTTTGTTCAGCCCTCCAGAACCCTAAAGCCAAGTGTCCTACCCCATATAACACAGTTCTTATTGCTATACCAACTTAGTTTCATTCTCAGAACTGTGACGATGCTGAAAAGCCATGAGCAACAGTTGAGCCAGTGGTAAGAATCTCATTATTGCTTGCATTCTCTACATACGAAACCAGTAATTTTCTAAACTTCTTTCCATCCAGCACAAATCATATATATGCTTTATTTATGGCTTCATGTACCTAAATATATAGATGCAGCCACAAAAAAAGGAGGCATAAATTATTAAAATTAAGGGGAAATATTGCTATGCTGCACAACCTTCTAACCCTTTCCTGCCACAAGTTTCCTAGGAGAAGGAAGATGAGCATTATTACTTGTTTTAATTAAAAGCAAGCACCTTACCTGCTTCGAGGCCACACAACAGACCGAGACCTAGAGCGTGATCTGGACCTAGACCTAGAAAAGAGCAGTGGAAGATCAGCCACTACTGTGCGACTCATACAGCAAGCATCTTTCAACGTGGTTCTCTGAAATCACTAACATTATGCAAATAATTAAAGTTACTCAAGTTACTTCCGCAAAATTAGCGGTATTATTAGAAAGTTGTAATAGATTTGACCAGTAGTATCATCCACGTAAGAAATCCTGCTGCCCTGCTTTATGTCATTACTCTGTATGCTTGAAGACAAAGAACGCCTCGACCATAGATCAAAACCACAAACCTAGTTTTGAAACACTATGAAAAAGATCAGAAATGGTCGTTCAGCGTAAATATGCACAGGTTTCTAACTTCAGCTAAAAGGTTCAGGTTAGCCCAGGAATGTAACCCCACGAAGTTTCCGATGAACGCCAAGGACTGCAGAAAAATGAAGTTAATGCTAACTGCAACAACTAAATTCCCTTCAACACCATTGTGAGCTTAAAACTTAACAGGTAATGCGTACCTTGATCTCCTTAAAGATCCAGACCGTGACCTCCGAGGTGAAAATGATCTATACCTACGAGGAGAGATTGACCTGGACCTGCGGTAGGAAGCTGACCTTGATCTACAAAATAAAAACAAAAAGTCAAGCTACCATGAAGTACTTTTCACAAAGAGTACTAAGGGGTACAGAGTTGAGGGAGAACTAAGAACAGTAACAAACAAGTGCACAGCAGCCAGAATCTTACCTCCTACCGCGACTTCGACTGCGTGACCGAGAATACCTCCTTCCTCGGGACCTGGAACGGGATCTAGACCGGGACCTGGGTTTAGGTTGGAGAAAACACGTATCAGAAAGCAGCTTCAGCTACCACTGCATGAGGCCCTGCTGAAGTCAAAACTTTCAGACAACTAAAAAGAAAATAAAAACAAAAACAAAAGCCACATCACTAGCATCTGTGAGTTGGAAAAAATCTCTGGGCCTACTTGTCTTGAGCAATTTTACTACCTAGAAAAATGTTAAGAGCTGAATTACATTGCAGAATTACATTAGAATAAAAAAACACTGTAATGCGTATTTAAAATAAACCTTGCAAGTTTGCAGGTCGACCCTCTTTGGCCCAAGGTCTAGCAGATCTAGACGATCTAGAAGTATCTATAGCCGATCGCTGCATCTAGGTGTTCTCTTCAATCTAACGACGATCAAACTGACAGCCCAATGAGCCAGGGTGAGGCTTGATTGACGCAAGAAGATTTTTCTAGCTGGGAATGTGGTCAATCTGGTGTTCCTCTTTCTAAACCGGAGGGGGGGCCCCAACTGAAAGCCAAATTTACTGTTACGGCGGTCACCGTCTCAAATTTTCTGCCCTTAAAGAATAAGGTGAAGCTACGTGTAGATGGCTCGAGGGGATCTGGCCTCTTATGCTGATCACCTCAAGGTCTAGGAGGATCTTAAGTGTCGGATTTGCAAGGCGCCTCAGCATGAAATCTTAAGGCTCGTGACATTCTGAATCAAGGCGACTGACTCAAACGAAGAAACCTGAAAGGTTTTGACCAGGTTGATTATTAAGATAGTAACATTCGATATGTATTAGCAAAAAAAAAAAAAAGTGAAATACACCTGTTGACTTACAGCATTAAGAGTTTAAACTGGCTTTTTCTTTGCTAACAAGAGCTACACAAAAGTGAACTGGCGAAGCAACCCAGCCGCACCGCTCCCACACGTACCTGCTCCTCCTTCGGCGACTATAGCGATGGCAATCATAAGCATAGTGGCCTTTCTCACCACACTCATAGCATCTGTCATTAGGGTCAAAGGGGCGCCGGGCAGGAGGCCTGTCGTAACGGGAGCGACGGGGCATCCCTGTCGACACTTCCACTCTCACTCTGGAGCCACATATTATCCTGCAACACACAGAGATTGTTAGTCACAAGAATGATTTTCTCCCCAATGACTGGAGGTTGGAGAAGAGGCAGCATGGCAGCCCGCAGGGGCCGTTTCCCCACACACGTACTTCCCGTCCAGTCCCAGCACGGCGTCCTCAGCATCCCTCGGGTCTTCGAACTCCACGAAGGCGAAGCCCGGCGGGTTCCTGGCGATCCACACGGTTCTCAGCGGCCCGTAGTAGCTGAAGGCTCTCTCCAGCTCGCCTTTGCCGGCGCCGGTGCCCAGGTTCCCCACGTACACCTTGGTCTCTGAGGGGGGCAGCGGGGCGGCCATGTCAGCTCGGGGCCGCCCGCACTGCGCAGGCGCGGCGCGCGATGCCTTCAATGCGCCCCCCCTCCCCTTCCTCCCTCCCTCCTTCCCCGCGGCCCTCAGGCGCCGCCATCTTGGGCGCCGCCTCCATTTTGCTGCGCGCCCGCCGCCATCGCTCCCCCCCGCCTCCCAACGCCTCCCGGCACCGGCGGCGGCCCCGAGCCGTGCGCGGCGGGCGCCATCTTCCCCCGCAGCCGTTCCTGGGACAGCAGGCCGCACTCCCTCCTCTCTTCTCCTCAGCGCGACCCCCTCCCGCCCCGCCGGTCTCCGCTGAGGCGCCCGGTGCCCCCCCTCTCCCCTCAGCCCGTACCGTAACGGCCGTATCGCGACATCGTCCCCGCTGCGGGCCGGGCCCCGTGCGCCTCCCCTTATATAGAGCCCGCCGCTGCCGCGACTGCGCGCCCCAACGGCACCGCCGCGCGCACGGGGCGGGGTTCGGGTCGCCGGGCAACGCGGGGCGGGGCGGGGCGGGGCGGGGGAGCCCGCGCCTCGGCCGCGCCGAGGTCTCGCGCGAGCGGCTGCGCGGGAGGAGGAGGAGCCCGCCTCCCGCCTCAGGCGCCTGAGGGGAGAGGTGGGGTAAATAAATAATGGGGTAAAACGGCAGCAAAGTGGTAAAAGGAAACCAAATCGCTCCAATTACAGGGAGTTCTGTGCAACAAACGGCCTCCAGTCACTGTTGTGCTGAAGTAGCAAACGTGGATGGAGAACGACACACGGCCTTAATGCCCCTTTGCATGCTCGCTTCCAATTATCCTGCAAACCTCATCCTATACTATAATTAATGTGCTAAAACGTAAGAAGTCTTGTAGGAAAGGAAGAGCTTTCCCAACAAATCTTGCATCTGGTGTGGGAATTCAAGTATCACGATTCCTTTTGGAAAAAAAAAATAAAGATTGGTGGCAAGCAGTTCAAATAAACACGCCACACCACTAGAAAAGTAACAAAATTAGTCTCAAAGGCAGAGGAAGTTTAGATTTCTAATATTTTATCTTTCATAATACTGTAACAAAAAGTATAGCTATACAGCAATTTAATACAGCGTTATTACCTGACTGATTTTTTTAACAAAAAAATAGTGCATGCAAAATGTTTTGTGCTTGTACTTCACACTTTTTACTCCTTTTTACACGTTTTACTCCTTTCTTAACGTACAGGAATTCAGACAGAAGCCCCGACACGCAGCGCTTATGGACGTCTGAATGCTGACCCCCAGGACAGTCCCTAATGGGGCCGGCAGACCCATTCCCAAAGACCAGTGCTGGAGGCAGCAGAGCTCACTGTCTCTTTTCCAGGTAGCGCTGTATCAGGCCCTGAACGCGGGACAGGATGATCTCGTTGGAGCTGCTGCACTCTTCTGGGCCGTACGGCGGGTCGATGGTCAGCACCCCCGCCACGCACAGCGTCCTTCCCGATTCTCCTTGCTCTGTCACAGGGATGTGGTTTGCTTCCAGCCAGCTCTTCAGGTCGTTCTTCCTCTTGTCGAGCTCCTCCGGGCTGTACGCTTTGCTTTCCTCGGGGGCGAATATGCAGGAAAGCCGTGCCTTCATTTCATCGTCCGCTTCCTGCAGGACGTCAACCTCCTGGACAGCGTGGCCCAGCACAACTACAATGGACGCTCTTCCGTTCTCTGGGAAGTTTGCCAGGACAACACTGCCAGGGAAAGAAGGACGTGTGACTGACTGTACCTAACTGAGGACAGAAACACAACCCAAGGGGCTCGGAGGTGAGTGCTCAGAAACCTCATTGCAACCCAGGTATTTAGTAAATACCAGGTAGTCAGGGTTTTTCTTGAAAAAAACATGCTATGTCCTTAAAATGGTGAAACTGTGGGGCTCTGGGGTAACTTCTGACCTGGAATTTGAAACTACCCTAAGTACTACCAAGTGAAACATTGCATTAGGGGAAAAAAAAAAAAAAAAGCAGCAGGATGCATCAGAATCAGGGCTGGGGATGTGATTTGGGCAGTATTCCCAACCTTGCTAAAGCACCCAAAGTCTTCCAACATTAAAAAAACAATACCATCATACATTCAACACGTAGAATGCTGAACGCAGTAGTGGCAGCTAACAATGAACATCAGAAGCTTTTAATGGGTAATTATTAACATTTAATTATTGATCGTAACTAAAATAGCAATATATGTATTTTTAATGAGTATTACTAGCTTCTTAACTGAAAACTATACTTGAGTATTGCACCAAGAGCACACGGCAGCAGGTTCAGGCTCATGTTGTAGCCATTTAAGACTGCTGCCTGATCTTTTCTCAAGGGCACTTACATTCCACAAGTCCTAAAATACAATAAGGAAAACAACTTGTTACACTTCTAGCATCTCCTCCCCATATACCATAGAAGAGAACCAGAAACCATTTTCTCCCTTTTGTGGGAAGAAAAAATCCAGCACTCTACGCCAGAAGTTTATTAATTTGCTGTTGTCACCGTCAGTGGAATAAAAGACTGTGTGTGGGATGTGCAATGAAATATGCCATTAATTTTAGCCTTGGCCATCCCCCAAATCACTCACAGCTGTGGAAAACTTTCCTATCAAAAAGGCAAGCATCTCCATGAGAACATCAGAGTATCAGAGCTGCCACATAGCTGAAAGAACAACCATCTCATCTGAAACACATCACAGGCTGGATGTTTTACTTTCTAGCCTCCATCCCGTGCTCCTTTTGGACAAGCTTGCAAATAAAAAGATATGAAAAACCTCTTGCAGCACAGAGCCAAATTTCTGCCTGTTCCCTCGTAAAGCCAGGATGAATTCAGCTATTAGCCATCCCCCAAACTTACCTGTCCCTTGAATGAAATTAATGTGGATTTAGGCCTCATTAGCTTTTGTTATCTTTTTTTCTTACACATTGCCAATTAAACACAAGCCTCAACACATGTTTTTTGTTTTTGTTTTTCCAGGTAAGTTTGCTTCGCTCTTGGGGTCCTCTTTCCCTAAAAAACTTGTTCTCTCTGAGCTTTAGAGAAGCAAAAGCTTTGGTACTTACTTGGCAGAAACTGGATCAACTGTTAAGACCCATCCTTCATATTCATTTTTCTCAGCTGCTGCAACTTTCACCCTTTTGTTCACGTATGTTTCCCAGTCTAGAGGGCTTTTCATTTGCCAGTCATTCATATTGCCTACACCCAGAACCTAGAAAACAGCCAGAGCAATTAGCAGAAGTAACCAATCTCCTCGCTTTACCCTTTACATCAAAATTTGCCTCTAGGTAAGTCTTCCACACATTTTAATCCACTTTTTTTTTTTTTTAATGCAAACATTACAAACACTCAGGGCACTGCGAGCTGCGGGTGCTCTCCCACTCCATCCCCTGCACCAGCCACCCCCATCCAACGTGGGGGGCACCCGTCCCACCTCACCCCGTGATGGGGAGCGATGTGGGGAGGCCAGGGGGCTGCGGGCACCTGGTTCCCGTCCCCTGCCGTGCCCCCGGTGCCCCCCTCCTGCCTCACCGCCTGCGGGGCCCCGGCCAACGAGGGCGGGCGTGGGCTCGGCCCGGCCCCGCCGCTTCCTGCCGCCAGCCCGCCCCGGGTTTTGTGAAAGCAGCCGAATGGAGGTTGCCGAGGAGCGTCCTAAAAACGCGCTAGGGCTCAGCAGCCATAGGGGAGGTGTTGCTGTTCAATGCGTGACCCCAAACAACGCGTGGGGCGGCTGCAGCCAGCGTGCGAATCCTGGCTCGGGTCCTCTCCTGTGCGTTAATGCTTCCAGGTTCATCCTCGAGGCATCTGCGACGTGCAAACTGCTCTTTTTGCTCCCTGCAAGTTTTATTTGTGAGCTATTCCTGTGCAGCTGCATAAGCAATAAACTTTTTTTTTTTTTTTCCCCAGGGAGCTTCTGTATTTTAAGACTGCTACTGAACCGCTCCCTGTGGATGAAGCAAACAAGCTTCCATCGCTCAGGAATATAAATGAAAATGTGGTGATGTTGTGATACTAGCAGGAAATAAAATACCGCAGGTATAAAAGGAAAAATTTGATATTTTGCAGGCTTAAAGAGGGATTTTTCTTTGTTCTGGTAATGTTTCAATTCCCAGTGCGGTGGATTTATGGATGAGTTACTTCATCAGCTCCTGCTTTCTCTCAGATGTAGTTTACTAAGGAAGCAGGAACTAACAAATTTGGTTGTTTTCACTGTAAGAGCAAGCACCAGTGAGAAATCTTAGCTCCCATTTGAAGGAAAATCAGTGGAAAGAATGACTGCAGTGTTCTCAGATATACACACGTTTCTGTGTATTACACATCTCGGTCCTTCGGGATGTAAATAACTTTGTAAATAACTGATGCCTTTCTGCATCAGGCTGGAGAGGATTTTGTTCAAAGTCACTTGGAGCAAAATGCTTTAAGCATTTTCAGTTTTAATTCTTTCTGGTCTCACTTCCTAATGGTTTTTTGTTGTTGTTTTTTGTTTTTCAATGCTGAAAATTTAACTATTTGCTCTAAGCAAAGCCTCCACAGTTTATTTTTCCCTGCCATCCGAGCCTCGTCTGACAGACGCGGCTCGCTACCGCGGGCAGTTACAGCTCTCTCACCGCAAATTCAGCCACAAATAAGCGCTTCATGAGGCCAAAAAGAACGCTTTTTGGATGAGAACACCTCCTCTCCCTCAGCCACCCCGCAGCTCCGGTCCCGGCTGTCCCCGTCCCCTTTTTTCCCCTCAGGCGACAACCGGCGCCCTCCCCGCGCGCATGCGCAGCGCCGCCGCCTGAGGGAGAGCGGGTGGGCGGGCGGCGAAGGGCAGGCGCGTGCGCGCGCGGAGCGGCGGCTGGCGGAGCCGTTAGGATGTCGCGTTACGGCCGCTATGGAGGCGGTGAGCGGCCGGGCAGCGGGCGGCGAGGAGGGGAGAGAGCGAGGGCGGGAGGAAGCGGGGGGAGACGGCTGAGGGGAGCGGAGCGGAGCCGGGGCGGGAAGGTGAAGGAAGGGAGGGAGGGGAAGGTGAGGCGAGGCGAGACGGCCGTTAGGCGCCGTTGCCGCCGCCGCCATTTTGCGTCAGCGGCGGCGGGGGGCAGGGGTGCGGCCGCGCTGCCTGCGCGGGAGGCGGGAGGGGGCCGCGCTCACAAGATGGCGGCGGCCGCCCCGAGCCCTCAGGGCTGCGGCGCTTACCCCCGGCTCCCTCCCCTTCAGAGACCAAGGTGTACGTGGGGAACCTGGGCACCGGCGCCGGCAAAGGCGAGCTGGAGAGAGCCTTCAGCTACTACGGGCCGCTGAGAACCGTGTGGATCGCCAGGAACCCGCCGGGCTTTGCCTTCGTGGAGTTCGAAGACCCGAGGGATGCTGAGGACGCCGTCCGTGGGCTCGATGGGAAGTACGTGAGCGGTGCTGCTGTTGGCGGGAGCTGGCGCCATTTTTAAGTCTGGAGAGAGAATTGGTGTTCCCTTTCCATTTCTTCTTTATGCAGTTCTGGGACTTTTCTCTCCATTATTATTATTTTTTTTAAGTAGTTCTGCCATAAATGTTAGCAGTTAACTTAGAGCCATTGTTGTCTTGTTTTAGGGTGATCTGTGGCTCCAGGGTGAGAGTGGAAGTGTCGACGGGGATGCCCCGTCGCTCCCGTTACGACAGGCCTCCTGCCCGGCGCCCCTTTGACCCTAATGACAGATGCTATGAGTGTGGTGAGAAAGGCCACTATGCTTATGATTGCCATCGCTATAGTCGCCGAAGGAGGAGCAGGTACGTGTGGGAGCGGCGCGGCTGGGTTGCTTCGCCAGTTCACTTTTGTGTAGCTCTTGTTAGCAAAGAACAGAATGTTACACCAGTTTTCTTTAAAACTTAACTCTAGCGTAAATGTATAGGTGTATATTACAATTTGTTGCTATTTCTATCAAATGTTACTATCTTAATAATCAACCTGGTCAAAACCTTTCAGGTTTCTTCGTTTGAGTCAGTCGCCTTGATTCAGAATGTCACGAGCCTTAAGATTTCATGCTGAGGCGCCTTGCAAATCCGACACTTAAGATCCTCCTAGACCTTGAGGTGATCAGCATAAGAGGCCAGATCCCCTCGAGCCATCTACACGTAGCTTCACCTTATTCTTTAAGGGCAGAAAATTTGAGACGGTGACCGCCGTAACAGTAAATTTGGCTTTCAGTTGGGGCCCCCCCTCCGGTTTAGAAAGAGGAACACCAGATTGACCACATTCCCAGCTAGAAAAATCTTCTTGCGTCAATCAAGCCTCACCCTGGCTCATTGGGCTGTCAGTTTGATCGTCGTTAGATTGAAGAGAACACCTAGATGCAGCGATCGGCTATAGATACTTCTAGATCGTCTAGATCTGCTAGACCTTGGGCCAAAGAGGGTCGACCTGCAAACTTGCAAGGTTTATTTTAAATACGCATTACAGTGTTTTTTTATTCTAATGTAATTCTGCAATGTAATTCAGCTCTTAACATTTTTCTAGGTAGTAAAATTGCTCAAGACAAGTAGGCCCAGAGATTTTTTCCAACTCACAGATGCTAGTTCTTTAGTTGTCTGAAAGTTTTGACTTCAGCAGGGCCTCACATGTAGTGGTGGCTGAAGCTGCTTTCTGATACGTGTTTTCTCCAACCTAAACCCAGGTCCCGGTCTAGATCCCGTTCCAGGTCCCGAGGAAGGAGGTATTCTCGGTCACGCAGTCGAAGTCGTGGTAGGAGGTATGCTTATGTTTGCATCTCACTCTTGTTTCTTTCTTTTACTTACAAAGAGCCTTGTTTGCACTGTAACCTTACTCAACTGTAACCTTGTTTGGTTTCTTTGCAGGTCCAGGTCTGCTTCCTATCGTAGGTCCCGGTCCGTTTCTCCTCGTAGGTCTAGATCTGTGTCTCCCCGACGGTCCCGATCGGGTTCCTTGAAGAGATCGAGGTAATTAGTAGTAATTTCATATAAGCTTTTGATTTTGATTTCATTGCTGCCTTTCTTTTTAATTAAGGCATTTGGAAAGGTATAGGATAGCAGACTTCTAAAGGTGTTGATTGCTAGAAATCAGGGTGCTAGAATTCAGACAGAGAATGCTTTAAAACTTTTTGATAACCCTACTTACCTATTAACCCTACTAAGTTCTGGTAATCCAGTTATTCTTTTAGGCCTTAAAGAACTGCATATCCCAAGATGAATTTTGGTGCCTGAAATGTTTAAAGATACTTTAGGTTTTATATTTAACATGTAGATATTATTCTACTTAGTGCTGTAACAGTCATTGCTTCTAGTTGAGTTGACTCCTTTGATTTTTATTTTTTATTTAATTTTTGTTTTCATTTCAGGTCAAGATCAAGATCCAGGTCTAGATCCAGATCTGTTACATGGCCCCGAAGCAGGTAAGATCTCTGCAGTAACTCGGGACATGTGGTAAAGTTGCTTAAGTCTCTTGAGGCTTTCTGGCAGCTGTTAAAATGTTCAGAGAAAGAAAGAAGTATTCTGAGTGTTCAGCTCAGGGGTCTGAGGTTTTAAAGACCGGTATAGAAGACTGCACTTTTTTCTTTTGGTATTGTTTGGTTATTTTGTTTTGCATACTGCTAATATCTAGGTCTTCATGGTCATCACAAGTACTGTTTTGATTGGTTTTATTATTAGTTAGCTAACATAGCAAACATCTAGGATTAATCTGAAAAGTGTTTTGCTTTATTTAGCTCATATGAGATTATGGATTCTTCAAATTACTTGTCAGAAATTAGGATGTCCTTCTGTTAGTATTAAAGTATCAGTGCTCTTAACCAGGCAAGTCCTGAAGGACTTTCTAGTGCTGTGAGTGTTAGAGCTGTTTTTAGCTGTCTTGAGTACTCAACTGTTTATTCACAAAGTGTCATGTTGCAGTAGCTGAATTAAATTTGGGATAAACACCATGCCAAATTATTTTGTACCGTCAGATGTACCGTTAGAATGATGATCAGATTGGAGAGAAATACAGGATGCCACTCATTCTCTTAAATATTGTGGTCTAATGATTCCACAGTAAGTGACTGTAGCATGTGTTTCCTGAGAGCTGGTCAAGAGCAACGTGGCTCACATGGGTTGATTGATTAGCTTTGTAGGAGAATTAAGAGGGGATTGAAGTCCTGCTCTGAAGGAGACAATGCTGCTCTTTCCCCAGCCCATTCCTGGGCCTGCCGTTCTGCTTTAATGGTTGCCCTTTGAAATAAATAAGATAGCAGTCAGTGGTGAAGAAACACGTGCACACTCAAAAGGGAAGCTTCAGCTGAAGAGAGTAAGTGGAAAAGCCTACAGCTGGAGACTAAAACTTCACTGCTGAAAGGTGGTGGTGGTGGTGGTGGAAGGCTTTTCTGAGGGGTGGAGCAGCAAGCCATGACAAGAATTTTTATGGAATGGAGAGGTAAAGAGTAGAAGATGTCGTAGCTAAGACATCTCAAAAAGTGTTTCAGAAGCTAGTGAAGAGAGAAGCACAATTCCCCAAGGTAACAGAGCCATCCTTTCTATTGATCAGGTGCACTTTCTCTACCTGTTGCTAAAATGTGTTCAGTTGTTCCAACGTGGCTTAACCACGGCTTATTGTTGTTCAGTGCCAATGATGAGCAGAAAACAGCCAAGGTCAACAGGCTCTCAAAAAGAAAAAAATCTTGATTTTGTTATCATTATTTTCTTTTTTTAGCACCAGGATGGATTTCTGCAGCATATAGGGTGCTATTAGTGTAATTTCCAAACTCTGTATTGTGACACGTTTAATTGTAAGTACAGATGAAGTGATTGAGGCAGAAGAAATGACAGAAATAAAAGCACAAAGAAGTGGCAAAATATTGGTGTTTAATTTATAATGAAGTCACTGTTTAAATTTCCACATCAGGCAGTTGAGAGACTATCTCTCTAGAAGAATGAAAGGAATGCAGAGCATCCAGAGGCAGGCTCTCAATTCATAAGGAAGACAGGCTGAATAAGTATTACATGAAACTTGCTGGGCTGACAGCATCAAAGCATGCATCTGAAAGCAGTTAAGGAAAGTAGAACGCTTCCTTTGGGAACCTACAAATTTCAGTTCTTCTTTGTAAGTGATA